TGTCCTTTTTTATCATTTTTTACCAGTTTTCCATATTGCAAAAAGGTTTCTCTAAGGCACAAAAGTGCTTGCATCACTACAATACAGAAATGTAGTGAAATTCTAACCACCGATCAACTTCTGACATTTCAGACTTCTTTGACCAGAAATGCTAACTTACTCCTTTCAGACACAGCTTTATGATTTGTACAGAAACCTAGTCAAGTATGACATTGTATCATTAGGTACAATGTCAGCACATAATCAGTGATGTGAAAGTCAAGACACTTGGGAGACATGGTAAATTGTTCTGCTAACCCAGTCGTGGTTGTTAGACACTCAGCTCTCTTGGTGAAAATTCTGTGTACAATACACTAATTACTCTCAGTGCTTTTGTCTTGAACTTTTCAGCCTCGATTCTCATGCTGACAGAACAGGGGGCCGTATTGTAATAAGGTTCTAACAAATTAAACAGGATGTTTTACAAGGTAAGGGATATGTTTATGGCTCTGAAAAACACAACCTTTTGCAACTGTTGTACACAGAAGTATAATTTAAAGTATTTCATCCAACACACGAAAATGTTGTGCTAAAGAGGGAGGGGACCCAGTTCAGTAGCACCAGGTCCGAGTAGAGAAAGACTCAAGTTGAATCCCTGGGATCTCCAAGGTTCCTTTAATCTGAAGAAACATTCTTTCCTTAAACAGCTTGAAAAACATACAAGTTCATGATCATTTACGAAAGAAGTCAAAGCCAAGAATGTATGAGTATCCGGAGAACAGAGAATTCTACTTGGCAGACATCCCTTTGTGTTAGCCTCAGCTGTTAGCATTGATTCCAGTGGAGAATGAAGAACTTAGTCAAACTCACATTGTCACAATGAACTAATAGAAAATTACTCTCATCTAGGTTTTTTACAATTGGATCAAGGCTAACACAAATATCTGTTGTTCTGGGCTTGAGGAAGCACAGCTGGCTATAAACAGCAAATTCTTAACCAGCTCCTGCTCCATCTGCAGTCATCAGAAATAATCCTGCCATGACAGCGATGGTAAGGCAGTGAAGAGGATTTGAAAAATTCATGAAAGATAAAGCTCTTCATGTCTGCTAATCATAATGGCTTTATATTAGCTCCAGTATCATAGATGGAAAGGGATCACTTGCATGATGCGAAACTAACGACATGGGTAACTAAAATGGAGGCATGGATCTGCACATAAATTGCATAGAATGATTTATACATATCCATTAAAATAATTGCTAAAATCTATATTTTGCAGATGGCAAACCAATTAATTCCTCATCCAACATATCCTGAAAAAGCTCTTAAATTCATTAGTCCCACTCCTTGACCAGTCAAAGCAGTTATCTAATTCCCTAAACTCTCATATGACCCTGGTGTTGCTACAAAATCAGTTAGTCCCATTCAGATCAATCATTACATCATTATTGGCCTTGGAAATAAAATTAAATTCAGCACAGATAGGAAGAGTGTACATCAAAATTCCCTGTAGTGGGATACAAATAATCCTTATCTGAGTTCCATAGCATGTGATAATAAGTATGTGTGCAGTCTAACTGGACAGTTTCTATTCATTTAATTTTTATACCAAGGCTATGCAATTTTTAAAAATTAAATTTAAAAGAAAGCTAGATTTCTTCACCGATTGCTGCCTTGTCATGGCGAAGGGGCTTGAGTAATTCAGAGAAGCTATGGGCTATGCCGTGCAGGGACACCCAAGATGGACAGGTCATAGTGGAGAGTTCTGACTAAATGTGGTCCACCTGGAGCAGGAACTGGAAAGCCACTCCAGTATCTTTGCTAAAAAAACAAACCCCATGAACAGAAACAAAAGACTAAAAGATATGATGCTTAATGCTACTGAGGAAGAGTGGAGGACAAATGGCAAAGGTTAATAGAGTTTTGTGAAGTGAACAAGCTGGTCATCACAAACACTCTTTTCCAACAGCACAAGGATGTGAGACTGGCTGAGGGCTTGGGAAGTTCAAAGCTGGCTTGTTGTGGGGTTTTCTTGGGGGCTTTTGAGGACTTTTCCGAGGGCCTGTTTACAACTGGGACATCAATGGCAGGGGAGCCCCTTTTAAAGCTGAGGACCTCACCATGTCTAATGGGGAACTTTTTACTTGTCCCCATGTTGTGAAGAGACACAGTGCAAGTGTCACACTCCTTGTGGTTTGCATTATATTTCCCCTTCCTCTATGGTTACATCATGCTCTGCCTCTGACTGCTCGGTTTGGGGTCTCTGGCCCCATAGATTCGAACTCATTCCCAACAGCCTCTTTGGGAAAACAAGATCTGTGGCTAATATACTGTGGGACTGGTCCAATTGTGTGGGGGGAGATTTTTGTGTTTATTTTTTTGGTTATTTTATTTTATTTTTTGGTTATAAGTTATATGCTATTTAGTTATATTTTAGTTTGTTTTATTTTACTGCTTTATTATATTATTTGAGTCACATGTATATTTAATTACATTTATCTAAAGTGTTTAATTCAAATTTTTAAATTTAAATTTTATTGTATTTGTTAAATTGATAATCCACTAACTGATAATTTGTTTAATTTGGCATGGATAATTTTCTAATTTGTATTATTATTATACTAAATTCATTAATTTTGTTATTGTCATTTTATTGTATCACCCTAGTCTTATCCTTAATTTCTTTAATTCTCTTTTTCTGATATGGAGAGGAGGGCTTGCCACCCCAGTGATTACGGGTAGAAATATGGCGTTGGCACAGTGCCTACACATTACAGAAGAACAGTGAACAGATGTTTGAAGGCTGTTCACTGTTCTGGCACTGTGACCACCTGCCAGTCTTGAGGTAGTCAGATCAGCTGGCCCTCCACTCTAAAACTGGTGCTGTTGAATGCCAGTTTTGTGTCCAATAAATTGCAGCTTATTCAAGATCTTATTCTGGAGGAGGATACAGACTTGGCATGCATAACTGAAATTTGGATGGCCAGGGAACGGGGAGTTCCCTTGACTCTTGCCTGTCCTCCTGGATATGCAGTCCAGCATCAGGGTAGACTGGAGGGGCCGGGTGAGAGTAGCCATTGTTTATAGAAATACTCTGGAGGTTACTAGGTGCTCTTTGGTGGTGAAACCGGGTCTGGAGGCCCTCCACATGTTGATTGGGGCCAGGGATGGTATTGGGATCTTGCTGGGTTACCCCGCAACCCAGCCACCTCCCTACCAGAGCTGGCAGACTTTGTCTCTGTGGCACTGTTGGAGTCCCCAAGGCTTTTGGTCTTGGGTGACTTCAACATCCTTGCAGAGGCAGGGGTTTCTGGTCCAGCTCTTGAGTTCTTGGAAACCATGGCTTCCTTGGACATGTCCCAACATGTTAACGATCCCACACATATGGGCAGCCATATGCTAGATCTGGTACTTTCCACCGAGCGGAGCGAGCATGGTCTGATGGTGACTGACCTGGTGTCAGTCCCATTGTCATGGTCAGATCATCACCTAATAAAATGTAACCTCTCAGTGGCACTCCCTCCCTGCAGGGAGCAGGGGCCTATTTTGATGGTCCGTAGACACAATCGCTCCTAAATGCCCTCTCCGTCACAGAACTCGGCCAGGGGACTGGTATAATCAGGAACTACAAGCTATGAAGCAAAATAGGAGATGGCTAGAGTACACTTGGAGAGAAAAACCGACAGATTATAATAAGAAAGCTCTTAGGACCACAACTAACCATTACCTGGCCAAGGTGAAGGCTGCTAGAAGATCTCACTTCACTGACCGGATAAGTGAAGCTTCAAATCAGCAGGCAGAACTTTTCCGTATAGTTCGCGATCTAACTGGAATTGGTCTGGGTGATGGGCCTCCCACTAATATCTCACCTGACCAATTTGCAGCATTTTTAAAATCTAAAGTGGAGGACATCTACCGGGATCTCTCTCCTTTTTTGAATACAGTGAGTCGTTTTCAGATGCTCTTAATATAAGTCGAACCCCCAAAATAAGCCCCTGTTAAGTGAAACCCCATGCTCCACCATTTTGCTGAATTGTGCAGCAACCAGTCAAAGATGACATGAGTGTATTTGAATAAATGTAAATTGTTGTACATGAAAAAATAATATATACCCTGAAAATAAGTCCTAATGCATTCTGGAGTAAAAATTGATATAAGACCCTGTCTTATTTTCAGGGAAACACAGTATTTGCCCCTCCAATCTTACTTGCCATTGTTTCAACCTGCCTCAGCATCCAGGCACACAGGGAGATGGAAGTCTGGCAAAACATTGCACCTCTCCCACTGCTACATGTGAAGAAGCTACACACCAGAGTTTCCATTCCTACTGCTTTTGTAGTAGTCCTTTTCTGACCCAAGTTCTCCTTTAGAATATTTTTATCAGCACATTTGGCCCTTTCTGTGCATTGTTACCATTGCCTCTGTCCTTGTTCACACATCAGCCAGCTCTTGGTCTATACGGTATGACAATTTGATCAATGTTCTTTCCCTTTGCCTCTAGATACTCATGCATGGGGTAGGTAGGGAATGCTGTAAGAGTTCAGAAGCTTACAACATTATATTAAAAAGGATCTGGTTAGAAGTTTTGTGTCTTCAGAGACAAATCAATCATACTTCTCTATTTATATAGTACAGTAGTAAGTACAATGCTCACACTACTGAGTGCTCTTTTCCAAAGAGCAAGTTTATCCAAATACTCACCCAACTACATAGTTTAACTAGCATAAAATTTCCTACACACCAAAGCAGGCTTAGTATGCCATGGATTAGAGTCAGACAAACTCATAAGCACTGGGTTCTTTGAAACTTAAATTACTCTAAGCACAACCTAATGTATGCAAATAAGTCAACTAGGTATTAGTTCATATGATTATTGCTTTTTAAAGAAGAGTTAGACACTTAATCCTATCACAGATCACATATAACCCCTGAGAAGTTTGGAATTAAAACACAGTGCATGATCCAACAAGACAAAGTAGACGATGTAGATTTTCTAGATTTATCAGTGAGGAATCCCTACCTTTGAAGAAGCAATCTTTGCTGTGAATAATGTAGATTTTCTTCCGTTGCAAGCATGAAGCTCGGTGGAGTTCACAATGATTTTCATAGAATTTACCATCAGATCCACATACTGGTATGTAACTGGGCTTGCAGTCCTCTATGCATCTACATTCAGGCTTATCAGTCTCCTTGTTCACAATACACTTACTTCCCCGGCCACAATACTTCTGTTCACATGATGCATGGAGGCCATCTTGCCCATAAAGCACTGGAAGACATAATAAAAAAAAACTTTCTGTGTCAAGGACTGCAAGGTGATTAGCAACAGATAACGTTCCTTTTGTTGTGATATACTTTTATACCCAAGATACTTTTGCAAGGCTACATCAGACAGATGTAATTTTTTAAAAAATAAAATAAAATACAGCACTACAGCTTTCATAGATCATAATCCACTTCTTCAGATATAGGAAGCACAGAGACACATCCCCTGTATTCACTCCATGTTGCTGAGAGTCATGTCCAGGTGATGATGCAAATAAGAGACAAAAGTGAGAGTGATTCATTAACACAAGAATGGGATTATCAAGGTGTTATTTGGCAGATCCTAGCAAAGATGAACTACATGACAGATCAAGATGGTAGCCACAGGAATGCTAAGAATTGTTTATGGAGCAGAGACCAACATTGGTCAAACATTTTATGCCCACAATGTATTACAGAAAGCTGGGTTATTCAGATATGCAGCACACAAAGAAGCCTCAATCTCTTGAAGTAGTATTATTAACCCATTAACTAAACTGTTTGTTTCAAAAACAGTGGGTTTTAGAGAATGAAATGTGGGCCGATGCTATTAATGCCAAGTAACACATTTTTTTTTGTTCTCACCTGGAAGAATGAAATGAACAAAGATTTGCATCCCCAACTCAGTTGCCTCTCCACTTGCCTGATACTTCTTTGACTTCAAAGTTAATTTCCCCACACTTCTCTGGTGTTTTCCTGTGCCAAGTAGACTCAATTTTGTTGACAAAAGCACACCAGGAACCTGGCTCCTTTTTGTCACCCTGCTCCTGCATATTGAAATAAAGCTGTCTAACATCAGTGTTTAAAATAGAAGCTGATGAAGTTTTCAGGCCGCAGCACTGGCATATTTACCAGAGGCTACATTTCACTGCCCTTCGTTCTTGGACTTTCTTCTGAAGAAGCATATGTAGGATGGTATGGCAGATGACTACACTGTGTGAAAAATGGCAACCAGAGTGAAATAATTACAGTATATTGACCGTGTAATTTTAATGAGCTTGCCTTTGTAGTCCCAAAAATTTCAATGGAACAGAAAATTCTTTTTTTTTTTTTTTTTGGAGGGGAGAAATGTTCTCAACTGGATGAAATTGCACTGAAAAAATCGAGAGGATTGCATTTAAATAATTAATGTAGTAAGTACTAATTATGAGGCACTTCACTGACAATAGGTTTACTCGGAAATCCCTTCAAAGGAGCAGCATGGGGGAGTATTGCTAAATGACTAGACTGAAGTTTAGACTAGATCCAGAAAGTAGTATCCAGAAAACTGAAGGTGGGATGAAGACCCCATTACTGTCCATGGCATATACACTGATTTCTTTTGCACCCCCTCCTAGATTAAAAACAGCAAACCATGGGTAGATTTTTAAAGAATGGCTGAAAATGCCTGCAAAACCTGGAAAGCGAACATAGGCTAGTGATATCACACATGCCAATTCAATTCCTACACCCCAGGAAAGCCACTGCTCATAAATAGGACAAGCAACGTATTAGATGGACCAGTTGCCTGTCAGTGTAAAGCAGCCTGCATCACAGCATCTTCATCTTAGCATACCAAGTACTCTAAAAATAAATTTTGATGGATTGATGGCAGTTGGGGAAGTGATTGCCTTTCCCTTACTCTACTTCATGTGTTTTTGGCAGTTTATATGAAAATACCATATTTCCCTAGGCAAGAAATCTGTAATATTTCAGAAGGTGCAGGGACTAAAGCATATACAGAAGACTTGAATAACTATTACTCAGTCAAGAACACAGTACTTCCCAGTTCCCATAGACACTTTTAATATTCTTCCTCTTGGGGAGAAAACTAGCAAAAAAGCACTGAATATACTTCAACATGTCCCAAAGCACTGGAATTGAAGAACCTCAGCAAAACTATCTATTGTGATTAGAAGCTGAACTGCCCATCATGAAATCACAGCTCCTTTTCCTCCCATCTCTCCCCTACCTTGGAGATTTCTTTATAGGCAGAGCAGGGGAGAAATACATTATTATTATTATTATTATTTTTGGAAGCATGCTGCTTGGCCTCTCTCAGATTTCAACTGCGACAAAATCTTCAAGAATGTTCAGGCTTTGGTTTGATCCATTTTGGAGGAGGCTTACACCCATTCATACAACTCCTGATTCTAACCAAATCCATCTCATTCAGTTCAAGATATGGGATTTTTCAAAATCCAGAGCAAATTATTAGTATCGACTGTTGGAGTTTTAACAACCTCACATGTTGCCTGTGGCTTGAGTGACTGGGAGGTACTTTTCTGATCTTGGTTGACTCTCAGTCTACCCAGCTGAACCAATCATGCCTTCCAGCCTCTGAATTCAAAGAGCACCCTGTTTGCTATTGATCTGTTCACAACTAAGTAATAAACTATTTTTATATTTCTCCTACCAGTGTCTCAGAGTGAGTTATTGAGAGTGTAAGTGCCAGTTAATGAGAAAGGGGTGGACTATCTGGGGAACTTGAAGCTATTTTCTTCTGTGAGTCTCTTTATTTCTACTGCAAAGAATTTGACCAAAAATTCAGAACTCTGCAACATGTACTGAGCAAGAAGACGACCATGTGGCACTGGAAGTACTATACATTTTACTCCTTAATAACAATGTACCTGATATTTCAAATAATTCGTGCCTTACAGCTACTAGTAACAATATATACTGAAAAGGATTTCACAAATAAGGTTGGTTACAAAAACTAATAATTAGTGTTATACTCAATTATCCCAGTTTCTCAAAATTTGGAGCTTACTGTGCAACATTAATTGTTGTAAGTGCAGTGCAGATGATTACAAAAGGATATTGCAAAAGGAATAATCAAAACAGAAAGGCTGATATGCATTTTCCTTCATAATCCTGCCATTGTTGCTGCTGCTTTATTATTTCCCCTTATTATTCCTATACAGCACAAAATGCTTCAGTGTAGAAGATACGTAGGAATGCCAAACACCATGCAGCTTAACAGAGCTAAATAGGAAACTGAAGTACCATTTAGCAAATTTCTCCATTAAAAAATGAAAATAAAATCCTGCTTTTCCTACAGCTATAGTTAAACTGTAGTTTTCACCACTGTAGGTTCAAAGGAAAGAAATCTGTTATTGGAGGATTAACGGCTTCACTCAATATCTTGTTAAAATTCCACCAACCTTGGCAAGCAGAGAAATATTGACATTTTTTCTTGAATCATAATAAGCTAGAAGGTCAAAGTTTTTCTAAGTGCCATAAAAATTACAATCCCTGAGTGGCATATCAGAACATCCTTTATTCATTTTACTAATTGTTCAATGTTCTTCTGCAGCAATATCCATGGGAACACTAATAGTGCATGGCCCGACCATCAAGGTCACTTACAATTCTACTGTACATTATAGTGTACAATGCCAGAATACATCTTTCCATGATGCTATAACCAAGAAAGGAAAAGGGTCCAAATATCACCATCTGATTTATGTTTCTTTGGGAAATGATACTGTGGAACTTTCTTCTGGAGATTGAAGCAGGACAAAGTAGATTCAGTTTCCTAACCACCCCACGAGCCCGGACTCTTGACACTCTGAAAAGGATGTATTTTTAAAATGAAAATTTCTGTTATATTCTCTAGAGCGCCTCCCCCCCCGCCAATCTTGGTCCACTTGTGGCCTTCTTCTCTAGCCTCTCTTCGTCTCAGGTGTGTGTCTTTCCGAAACAGGAAAGACTTGTTTTCACTTCTATTTTTTTTTTTGGGGGGGAGAACCTTTGTGGGACTAAAACAGAGAGTAAAAGAATAGGGGAAATGGCCCCATTCCTACTTAGAAGGCACAAAAAGACTCTTTTAAAAATAAGAAACTCCCAGGGGAATACAGAGGGTATGCTGACACCAAACCATTGAAGCTATCCACTGCTATTTCAAAGAGTTGCTTGTTTTTATGTACCATCGGGTTGCCTTCAACTTGTGACAACTCAGTGAATGAGCAGTCTCCAAAATATCCTGGCCTCAACAACCCTGTTCAGCTGTTGTAGATGTTGGAGTCAGTCCACCTCACATTGGGTCTTCCTTTTCTCCTGCCACCTTCCACTTTTCCTAGCATTATTGTCTTTCTCAGATAATCGTGCCTTCTCATGATGTGCCCAAAGTAGGGCAGACTCAGTTTCAACTTTTTTTTCTGTCTCCAGAGATAGTTCAAACTTGCTTCAATCTTGTCTATCTGGCAGTACAGGATATCCACAAAGCTCTTTTCCAGCACCACATTTCAAACAAATCAATTTTTCCCCTGTCTGCTTTCTTAACTGTCGAGCTTTCACCACCCATACTTGGTGAATAAAAAGGCAAGAGTGTAGATGATCTTGGTTTTGGTCTCCATGGACATATCCCTACACTTGATGTTCTTTTCAAATTCCCCCAGTGCTGCACTTCAGTTTTCTTCTGATTTTTTGGCTGCGGTCCCCATTTGGATAGATGATTGAACCAAGGTATGCAAAATCTCTAACTATTTCAGTTTCTTCATTGTCAATGCTACAGTTACGTAGTTCTTTTGCAGCCATGATTTTGACCTTTTTCATGTTCAGGTGTAATCCTGCTTTGGCACTTTCTTTTACTTTCCCTAACAATTATTTCAAGTCATTGCTCCTTTCTGCCATAAAATGGTATCATCTACATATCTTAAATTACTGATATTTTGTCCACCTAGTTTCACTCCTCTTTCATCTGAATTCAGTCCAACTTTACATATGATATATTTTGCATTCAGACTGAACAGATAAGGTGATAAAATGCACCCTTGTCTAATACTTTTGTCTATAGGAAAAAGTATTCCATTTCTCCATATTCCATCTTAACGGTAGCTTCTTGTCCACAATACAGATTACGTATCAGGATGATCAAGGGCTGAGGCACACCCATTTCTTTTTGAACAACCCATAATTTCTTATGACCTGCATAGTCAAAGGCTTTGCTGTAGGTCTATAAAGCATAGACTGATATTCGTCTGAAATTATTTGGTGCCCTCCAGTAGCCAAGAGATATTTGAAATGTGAACTTGAGTGCCACTTCCTTTTTGAAATCCAGTTTGAAGCTCAGGCATTTACTTCTCCGTATAAGCTAAAAGCCCTTGTTGCAGCACCTTGCTTGCATGGAAATTAAAGCAATGGTACTATGGTTACCGCATGTCTCGGTATCTCCTTTCTTAAGGATTGGAATGTATATTGAGCATTTTCAATCCGTGAGCATTTCCAATCTGTGAGCCTTTCTTTTATTTTCCATATTTGTTGACATATTCGTCTTAAGAGCTTGACAAATTCATTTTCTGTGACTTGAAACAGTTCTATAAGTATTCCATCTACCTCTTGTGATTTAATTCTTCCAAATATTCTCAAAGCAGCTTTCATTTCACTTTCTATAACTGCAGGTTCTTCATCATAGGCTGCATGTTACTGCATGTACTCAAACCTGGTTTTTTATATTTGGTTTAAGACTTTGGGCATCATGCCCTACCTTGCTTCTTTGTAGCTAATTGCCTTTTATCTTACCTCTCACCATGGTGCTTCTCAAACTGTGCTAAACACTCTCACTCAAATTAATCAAACCTTTGTATAAAAAGCAAAGGTTAGGCTCCTCGGCAAATCAAACAATTGTATTTGGATGATGACCAGTAGAGGAAAGCAACAAGAGCTGATGATTCAGGCCAACAGGGCGATTTAGGTCCACAGGCTGTAACTGGACGACCCATTACACAATGCAAGAAGGAGGTTCAATGACCCGCTCTTTCATAACATCCGCTCTACCAAATGGGCCCTT